CCTTGAATGATTTAGATATTTTAATATTTAGCTATAAAATGTTCTAATCCATAAACAGTTGCTTTGCAGGTAGAGCTTGTTTAATGATARACTATATAAATAACAGATTTTGAAGATGCGGAAAACTTGTGGTAATTAAAGATATATTACAAATACTGTCAGTAATGGGTAAGATAATAGCATTTAAAGTTGTATCAAGAGGTAACCATCCTAAACATTCTACAATTCTACATTTTTCTCTCTGCCCTTTCTCCATCCTTTCCACCGCACCATCTGCRAAGCAGCCAAAACCCCAGTTCATTCTGAAAGGCGACTGGAAAACAAACCAGAGGGAAAGAAAACACTCTTTATTTCTTTGCTACTTCAGAGGATCAATGCTTCCAGAGGAATGGCTGTGCAGTCGCTTCAGATGTTGACTCAAAATAAACAGAACTCTGGGTGATAAAAATAAAGTCGCTCGTCAACTGCCAGGAGGACTCCTTCTGAAATGTTTATTTGAACAGTGTGACAAAAAGGGGYTTGAACGTTTAGCTTTTATTAGCGTGTTACTAACAGGATTAGCCATTATGAGCAAAAGTGTCTAAGCCTTATAAAAAGACTGTTAACAAGTCAAACTGTAAAACTTTGTTCAAGGGTAAATAAATACATAATCAAAACTGACAGAAAAGCCCACATTAAAATATGTAGTGATACGGTTAAATTAGTACTAATTGTTGTGTTTGGCACATGTTCCAAGTAACTCGTACAGTTCAGCTGTACAAGGTTTGTGCTCACCTGAATATTTCAGTCACTGAAATCCCCTCAAAAACAGGAAAAAAAGGTTTGTGACAAAAACATATGATGCTCGCAAACACAAAGTTTCTGCTTTTACTCTTCTTCCATCAAAATCATGCATGTTCTGCCAGTTTTATACACAAACACCACTCAAATCCAAACAGAGTTGAGACTAATTGTTAGTTTTTCTTCAATATACTGTAAGTGTCCACAAAGAGCTTTTACTTTTACACCATTTTTAATTCATCTTTTCACACAACTACTCCATATGTGATATGTGGTGTATGTATTTTTACTTTATTTTCATATTAAAACAATACTGAGC